TGGAATGAACTTTGTGTTATGTTTATATTATGTATGCCTATGTGTTACAGGTTGATCTTGATTACATTTGAGTATTGTATAATAAACAAAGTTAACATTCCTTTGCATAATTGCATTACTTTTCCTTTCCTTTCAGCACTTTGAAGACTACCCTTCTATGTGACTGTTGTGTAGACTGGAACTGTTCCCACATGTTCAAAGCCAATTTCATCACATGATGATAATGAAATAGGCAATTGGATCGCACTTTCTGGCACAAACTGAAATCTTTCCAGCTATACATTTCAGATTTTCTTAAGGCAGAATATTGATGGGTACTATCTACATACTTCTGTTAGTGCTTGTGTGTAAACAACCAACAATCCTTTTAGCGATATGAAATGAAAGGACATTGATCAGTTTCTGCTGGATGATGCCTCAGGTAGTTTAATATGTTAAGCTCTGGTGGTTGGGAGCATGAGAATCATCCCTCTTGCCAGCTTGTTGCAGAAGTGAAGACTCGTCTTGTAAAACCATCACTCAATGTCCAAGAGCTCACCATTTTTCCTGACAGATAGGATTAAGTTTTCTGATGGTCGGTAGGAAAGAGTACTCATCTTTGTTGTTAGACTAGAGTGTCTGACACTTGGGGGGATATATTTAAGAAGCTGGAGGAAGTATTTTCTAAATTTTTTCCCAAAAAAGCCATAAAAGACGGGGTTCAGACAGTTGTTAAAGTAAGCTAAGCAGATGGTGAAGGGCATACCTGTATCCACAATATCCATAGTGGAACAATCTTCAATCACACCAAGCTGAATCAGCACATCCAAAAATGTGAATATTTGGTGAGGAATCCAAGAAAAGAAGAAGAAAAGAACAATTGCAATAATCATCTTAAAAATATCATCTCCTCTTGGCTTGTTCTTCTGAATCTGATAAGCCTTTTTCAGTGTCTTCCAGATTAATGTGTAGCTTGTTAAAATGATCACGAAGGGGATCAAGAATCCCAACATGTTTTTGGATAAACCCAATCCAACTTTCAGAGTGGTGTTGTTGACGGTCTCATACAAAAAAGCACATACTGTCACATTGGTAGCATCAACGACATATACACCTCGGTGAATGACAACAGGTAAACTTGCAAGGGCTGCCAGTAGCCAGATTATGATGCAAGTTATTTGCGCAATGAACATTGTACGCTTGAGTCGGGCCTTCATTGGATGCACTATTGCCAAATAACGGTCAATGCTAAGGCACGTCAAGAGAAACACGCTGGCATACAGGTTGAAGGTTGCTGCAGCTGAAGTTAATTTACATAAACAGTTGCCAAAAGGCCACCGGTACTGCATGGCGGTATAAGCAGCCCACAAGGGCAAGGTCATGAGGAAACACAAATCAGCCAGAGCTAAATTCAACAGAAAGACACTTGCCACAGTTTTTAATTTCATGTAGCAGTAAATGATAATCACTACCAAGCTGTTTCCAAATATACCAATGATGAAAATGATGGTGTACACAGTTGGAACCATGATGTATATGAACTCATGCCTTCCTGAATCAGAACAGTCAACTTTGACTCTTTTATATTCCTCTTCACTGGACATATTCATAGTCATCTTTATCAGTTCAGATGGAGGATACTTGGAAATGTGATGTCAAGTTCACCTGAGGGAGAAAAATGAGAAAGTGATTATTTTTGTGTTGCCAGTACGTTCAAAGGTACTGAACACTCATTCAAGAGTTCTTTGTACAAGAAAGGTTGATACCAGTCACAGCAAGTATTTAAAAATACTGTGATATCACTGTGATTTATGGATTGATTCTGGATTCCACTGAAGTCTGAGTGATGACACCTCTAATCTCTGTAGTCAGGAGATAAGTTGTAATTCTGGGAGACAGGAGCCATTTGGAGACCAGCAGTCATAAAAGAGTTCCTTGAGACCTTTAGAACCAATTGTCCCTACACACCATTTGATTTCTGGGTTGAACTTTGATTAACTTAAACAGGTGATTTGCAGCACCAAAATCGTAGTTAATATTTTCTCTCCCAAATATTACAGCAGGTAACCTAATGCTTTAGTCATTTGATGACTTACTGTGCAAGCCTATGAAGAATTTCTCTGTACAAGATTGCACAAATAACTCTCCTGTGACTTCCACCAGCAGGGGTAACCTCCTCCCAGTGCTGAGAGCTCTGCACAGGACAAAACAGGCCACCCAGAAAGAAAAGATAGTTGTTTCCACGTACACTGGGCAAAGTCCCTAAGCATGGCAAATTAGCTAAAAGAAAACAGCAACATGACTTCAAGAATGGGTATGCTTTAGAAAGCACAGACTGTTGAGAGCAATCAAGAGTCAGTTAAATTAACAGAGTGGATGGGAAATTGCCTTGCTCAAGCCCTTGAGCATAGTTCTGGGGAATCTATGTGGGAGAAATGTCCAAATATTTTATCCCCTCCCCAATACGTGGTTCCTCATGGACCCTGAGCTTGTTTTCTCCAAAAGTAATCTTCTTGGTTAGGTATTGTAGAAAGCACACAACTCCCCTCCCTGTGGAAACCAGACCATTCAATTGCCAGTTGCCCAGCAACTGCAGAGGTGAGGTCAAGGTCACTCTGGCCTTTGCCATCAGCCAAAGGACCAAGGAGTGCTACATTGTATTTAATCTATTGTGTATGAACTACCTTGGGGATTAATTGACTGACATCTTTAATAAACAAATAAATGCACTAGAGTACAGGCTAAGCCTTTAATTAGACAGAAATGTAATAAAATATTATAAAATTGCCACATCTTGCATGTAGGTGTAAATGGTTTTTCTTGGACTCTCATAGAAATAAATGGCTGCCCCTCACAGGAAATTACACAATTTAGAATACATAAAATGTTGTTCTTTCCATTGCATTATCTTATCAATGTAAATTCTAAATATAGTTTGAATGCTAGGTACTAGATAAAGTTTTCAGATTCTGTTACATTATGAGTAAAAATGGTAAGCATCTGCCTAACTTTCTTTCCCAGGATATGTTTTGGCTGCTCTTTGGAGACCAAGACAAACAACGGGATTGTATGTGTTTTTAGTGAATCACTTAAGAGGTCATCTTGGATCACTGAGATGTACAAGCTATTAATGAAAACAAAGCCTCCGTGTTCAGAAACTTGCCAGTCTGAACTCTAGCAGGTCTGTTGCCAATTACTAATTGGCGTCCGATTAACAAGCATGTTGGTTTAATGCTTCAAACAAATGTGGACATGCTCTGTCACTCTTATTAAAATAAATATGGATCAAAATCAATACAAATGTATGTGAAATCTACCAAAATAATGGCTTGAAGGAATTGTGTGCATTCTGTTTATTGCCGGTTACCACAGAACTTCTTAGATATGTAGAATGAGAACATTTTGTATTAGGAAAAGAAGCTATAAAGGGATTAAAGTAATGGATTGGATCCAACCAACTTTTCTGGCCACTAAAAAATTCTGTGATGGGGATCACGGGATTTGCATGTAGTAAAGCCACATGGAATACAGGCTGTAATAAGGAGGAAAATTGGGCAAGATCGGGTGAAAAAGATGTCTGGATCCAGCTCAGTGTTCAGATATACAGGAAATGCCTGTAGAGGAAAAGCAAGCTCTCCCTGCAGCCTCTACGTTTCATAAATGTAATTTCTGGGGGGCGGGGAGCACTTTCTCCTTTTGTTCTGAATTTAATCAAATATTTGCAGTAAAGTTGGTATCATAAGAACATAAGAGACGCCAATATTGGATCAGGCCAAAGGCCCATCTAGTCCAACACTCTGTCACACAGTGGCCAAAAATACCAGGTGCCATCAGGAGGTCCGGCAGTGGGGCCAGGACATTAGAAGCCATCCCACTGTTGGCCCCCCCAAGCACCAAGAAGACAGAGCATCACTTGCCCCAGAGCCCCTATCTATATCTTGTGGCTAATAGCCACTGATGGACCTCTGCTCCATGTTGTTGTTTTTCAGTCGCACAGTCGAGTCCGACTCTTCGCGACCCCATGGACCAGCTCCCGCCAGGCCCTCCTGTCTTCCACCGTCCTCTGAAGTTGGCTCAATTTCATGTTCGTTGCATCAATGACACTGTCTAACCATCTCATCCTTTGCCGTCCCCGTCTTCTTTCTGCTCCATATGCCTATCTAATTCCCTTTTGAAGCCGTCCATGCTTGTAGCCGCCACCACTTCCTGTGGCAGTGAATTCCATGTGTTAATCGCTCTTTGGGTGAAGAAGTACTTCCTTTTATCCGTTCTAACCCGACCGCTCAGCAATTTCATGGAGTGCCCACAAGTTGTTGTATTGTGAGAAAGGGAGAAAAGTACCTCTTTCTCTACCTGTTCTTTCCCATGCATAATCTTGTAAACCTCAATCATGTCACCCCTCAGTCATCTTTTCTCCAAGTTAAAAAGCCATAAGCGCTTTAACCTTTCCTCATAGGGAAAGTGTTCCAACCCTTTTATCATTCGAGTTGCCGTTTTCTGCACTTTTTCCAAAGCTATAATATCCTTTTTAAGGTGTGGTGACCAGAACTGCACACAGTATTCCAAATGAGGTCTCACCATTGATTTATATACGGGCATTATGTATTGGCTGATCTTGTTTTCAATACCCTTCCTAATAATCCCCAGCATAGCATTGGCCTTCTTTATTGCAGTCACACACTGTCTCAACATTTTCAGTGAGTTATCTACTACAACTCCAAGATCTCTCTCTTGATCAGTCTCTGCCAGTTCAGACCCCATCAATGTGTATTTATATTTAGGATTTTTGGCTCCAATGTGCATCACCTTGCACTTGGCCACATTGAACCCCATTTGCCATGTTGACGCCCACTCGCCCATCCTTGACAGATCCCTTTGGAGTGCCTCACAATCCTCACTGGTTTTCACCACCCTGAACAACTTCGTATCATCCGCAAATTTAGCCACTTCACTGCTTACTCCCAACTCCAAATCATTAATGAACACGTTAAAAAGCAGTGGACCAAGTACTGATCCCTGTGGTACCCCACTGCTTACCACCCTCCACTGCGAGAACTGCCCATTTATACTCTCTGTTTTCTATTAATTAGCCAGTTTTTGATCCATAAAAGGACTTGTCCCATGATTTTTGAGCTTACTTAGGAGCCTTTGATGAGGAACTTTATCAGATGCTTTCTGGAAGTCAAGGTAAACAATATCTATTGGATCCCCCTTGTCTACATGTTTGTTCACCCCCTCAAAGAACACTAACAGGTTAGTGAGACAAGATCTTCCCTTACAGAACCCATGCTGAGTCTGCCTCAATAGGTTTTGTTCATCTATGTGCCTACTAATTCTTTCCTTAATAATGGTTTCCACCAATTTACCTGGTGTCGACGTCAGACTGACTGGATCTCCTCTGGAACCCTTTTTAAAGATGGGAGTGACATTTGCTACCTTACAGTCCTCAGGAATTGAGGCAGATTTTAAGATTACATATTTTTGTCAGGAGATCCACAAGTTCACATTTGAGTTCTTTCAGAACTCTCGGATGTATGCCATCTGGGCCTGGTGATTTATCAGTTTTTAAGTTGTCTATCAGTTTTAGGACCTCCTCAATCTGGCTCAGGTCTTTCAACACCCCTCCCGAAACCAGCGGTTCTGAAGTGGGCAAGCACTTCTCATCTTCCACAGTGAAGACAGAGGCAAAAAAATGCATTTAGCTTCTCAGCCATTTCCCTATCATCCTTCAGTACTCCTTTTATCCCTTGGTCATCCAAGGGCCCCACTGCCTCCCTGTCAGTATTTTATGTTTCAAGAAAAAACACCTCTTTTAATAAAATAAATGCAGATAGAATAATGAGTAGCCAACCAAGGCCTGCAGAATTCACCCCCAATTTCCAGTTTTCCTCTAGCTTTCTGCTCTGAGGAAGTTGTGAAACTCTAACCAGCCTTTCATTGAGCTGTTCTTTCTTTGACTGTTGCATGGTACATTTGTTTGGCTTTCATTTGTGATGGTCCTATGATGAACATGGCCATTTTCTGATATGGATACTCACGTTTAAAAAGCAATAATTAAAACACACCTCTTTATTTTAAAGGGATAGAATTTATAGCAATGAATACTAGAAACTTCATTGGATGTCATTATTAAATAATTCTAATGAATACGGTTATTTTAAAAAATTATTGGACGAATAACTCCATCATAAAATGCATATTTGTAATTTCCTCATTTTCAGTATCATGGATAAGGACCAATTTTTAAAAAAAGCTATTTTACAAGACACTTTGATGGTTTTCTTCAATTTATTTCTGGCTCTCATTTGCATCACACCCTCCCTGCTTGGTATGCTTAGTATTCTGCTAATTTAATCCCTTGTTGTCCATCTGGGACTCAGCAGTTGTCAACATGTGGCCTTTTATTTCTGACACATTCTCTGCCTCTTTTTCATGATGGTTAGCTTAATATGTGTGGGTCTGATGGCTGCAATTTCTCAGCAGTCCATCACTTTGGATGTGTCTCCAACTGCACCCTAGGGCTTAAGCGCTCTTGAAATTAAAAAAATGGAATAGCCTGGAGGACACGATTCTCTGATCATGGGGCCAGAGCTCAGAAGGACAGAGCCCAGAGGGTTTGGGGTAG